TTTGGGGCATTCTGGAGTTCATTTTAGTTTAGGAGTTTAGTTCAATTTAGGAGGTGAATAGAACAGACAGAAATCCTGACATTATGGAACTTATATTCTAGTGGGATGAGACAGTTAAAAAACAAAAACACAGATGGTGCAGTGTGTTTTATTTATTTATTTATTTATTTTTGGCTGCACTGTGTCTTCATTGCTGCACACCAGCTTTCTCTAGTTGCAGTGAGCAGGAGACTACTTTTCGTTGTGGTGTTTGGGCTTCTCATTGTGGTGGCTTCTCTTGTTGTGGAGCACAGTCTTCTAGGCACACGGGCTTCAGTAGTTGCAGCATATGGGCTCAGTAGTTGTGGCGTGTGGGCTCTAGGGTTTGTGGGCTTCCATAGTTGTAGCACACAGTCTCAGCAGTTGTGGTGCATGGGCTTAGTTGCTCCACAGCATGTGGAATCTTCCTGGACCAGGGATTGAACCTCTGGCCCCTGTATTGGCAGGTGGATTCTTAATCCATGATGCAGTATGTTATGTGCCAAGGAGAAAAATAAATCAGGGATGGGGGATAGAGAGTGTAGAACAGGGTGTGATGCAGTTTTAATAGTGTGGTTGGGGAAGGTTTTGCTGAGGTGACATTGGGAGTTGAGACCTGAAGGAAGAGAAGGAGTGAGCCATATGGATATAGAGAGAAAGCTTTCCAGCTAGGGTAAACAGCCTATGACCCCGAGACAGGAATGGGTCTGCAGGTTAGAGGCACAGCCAGGAAGCTTCTGTGTGTAGAGTGGAGTGAGAGAGGGGAAGAGTGGGAGGAGGTAAAATCAGAAAGGAACAGGGACCAGGTTGTGTTGTCTTCCTGTAGACTGTTGTGAAGATTCTGACACTGTAAGGACTAACCATGATAGAGAACACTCTTATGTGTGTGCTCATTGTGTTCCAGAGACTATTCTGAGCACTCTGCACCATTTATTATCTTATTTAATCCCCACAACTCTCTGAGGTAGGAAATATTATTTCCATGCTCCAGATGAGAGAAGACAGGTTTAGAGAGGTTAAAGTGGGGTCAGGACTTTGCACTCACTTGGCACCACCATAATTGAGGGTGCAGGGGAAACACTGAGCTCAGGGCCAGGGACCCAACAGGCACTCAGTAAATGTCATGATTGCTGTGGCAAGTATTAAGATGACTTTTTAAGAACCTTCCATATTCCCACCCTTATCCACAGCCGCTCAAGCCTCAATGCCAAGCCCCATGACAGCCTTGACTTGACCTGCGACAGCCGGGACTTCGTGGCTGCCATCATCAGTATCCCCACCCCTCCTGCCAACACCCCAGATGAGAGCCAACCTTCCTCTCCTGGCGGTGGTGGTGGTGGTGGGGCCAGCAGCACCCTCAGGAACTCCAGCCTGGGTACCCCTTGCCTCCTTCCCGAGACTGTCAAGATCTCTTCCCTATGACAGGCAGGCCTGCCCATCCAGAGTGCCCTCCCAATTCTTGGGGACTCCTTTCCAAAGCCATATTTTGGGAAGGTAGAGAAGGGCAGGCCTGGGGACCCCTTCTGCCCCCCACTGAGAACTATGCAATGGAGTTTCACGGAATGGCCTACCTGGTGGGGAAATAGCCAGGGAATGGAAAACTTCCCCTACCCCAGACAGTTTTCCTTGTGGGAGCTGAAGTGCTGGGCTTCCTCAGACCCTCAACCTCCTTGCCCCAGCACACTGGGACTGGCCCTTCTACCCAAGCTGGCCTCCTGCATGCTCCTCCCCTCCCCAGTTCTGACACAAGAAGGAGAGGTGAGACTTCCTCTTCTCTCTGGCTGAGCTATGGAGGTTTGGGGGTTCAGAGAAGAGAACTCTCACTGATGATCTGGCCTCTAGAAGAAGACCCCACCCTCCACCAGGCCCAACAACTGCCAAATTCTGAAGCTTGGAATGCAACCACAGGTTTCATGGGCTGTGGTTTCAGCAGTGACCTGCCACCCCTAAACTTTGGCTGAGGGGTTAGGCTGCCTTTCCCCAAACACACAGATAGCACAAACACCACTCCCCTTCCCTGGCTGCTGGAAATGGGTCCCCACAACCCTGTCCTCCACTGGGCCGCCAGCAAACTCTAGCAATAGCAGCTGCTGCCGTGACATTATGCAAAGCCTCTGCCCAGTTTGCTGCAGCATTTACATCTGCCCTAATCATAGGGGCCACCTCTAACTATGCCTCCTTCTCTCTTCTCTGGTTTACCTCCTTCCTGGGTTGGGCTGGAGTCTGGACTGGCTGAGATAAAAGTCTGGCAGCCAGCAAGAACTGGGCTGTGTTTAGAGATCATGGGCTGACTCCATGTTCTTGGGCACGAGTCCAGAAGCATCAGGGACTGAGGCCCAGCTTATTCCTGAACTCTAAGAGTTGTAGGTGGCAGGAGAAACTTCTTGATCTCCTCCTCCAACCCCACAATGCCTTTTCACATATTCCTCTCTCTTCTCCCTCTTGGGTCACCTTCCAGAACTCTCTGTCTGCTCTCAGGCTGAAACCTGGCATCATCTCAGGTTCCCTGTCCCCAGCACTGTCCCTGTGGAGTTGGTGGCTGACCAAAATGTAGTTTCCATCAGTCAATAAAACCTGAGAGGAGAGATGAGGATGAGCACCTCCTGGCTCTGTGGGTTTGGGGCTGGGTAGGACTGGGGGGTTGAAAATACTCCAATTTCAATTCCTTTTAACTAGTAGAAGGGCTATTGTGGGAAAAGTTATGGGAGGTGGATGGTTGCTGGTGTATTTTAGAAGACGGGGATCTAGGAGAAGTGGAAGAGGGTGCTTAGAAAAGGTAAATCTACAGCCAGTGAGACAGACTAGGAGATCCTGAGACATGCCCCATGAACATAATTTGCTCCAGCCCCCTCACTCACAGATAGAGAAACTGAGAACCAAGGCAGCACACACTTGCTTAGAGAAGACTTAAAACTAGGCTTCCTGACAGCAAACAGTTCTGAATTAAACCCTGATGAAAAGCATCTCTCGGTTTGGCGAATTCCGCTTCCTTGTGGATGTCCCCTACCTTTACTCTCTCTTTTGGGCCACTGGATACTCTAGACTAGCGTAACTGAGCTCTGTGGAGCACCGAGAAGACAACCCTTGGATTCAGGATGACATGGGTTCCAATCCCTGGGTGAGAGGATCACTTATCTTCTTTGGCCTCAAGTTGCTAATCTGTGAAATAGAGATAACCATTCACTTATGCACCAAATATTTATTAACTGCATATGACGTCCTAGCCCTAGGTGTACAAAAATGGGCAAAGTAGACATCTCTGATCTACAGGGGTGAGTGTGGAAGGCAATTAAGCAATTACAGCATAGTGTAGTAGAACAAAGATTAATGGATGGCAGGAGAATCTAAGCTGGCCAAACAATGAATTGGAATTGGCCAGGCAAAAGACCAAAGAGTGGAACGTTTTAGGCAGAGGGAACAGCATGTTCAATGACCTGGAGGTTAGAGCACCAGCTCAGGGCCTTGGGAAACTGAAGTGGTTCAGCACAGCTGGTGAGGAGAGTGTGAGGCTGTGATGAAGGTGAGGATGTATAGGCCAGGTAAGAATGTAGGCCAGATAACAAAAGGCCTTTGAAGCTATGATACAGATGTGGACTTCATCCTAAGGATAATGGGGAACCCTGAAGGCTTATAAACAGGAAAGTCATCCTGAGGTTTGTTTTTCAGAAGGATTATTTTGACTGTGGGGAGTAGATTACAGAGAACCAGTCTTGGAGGGAGGAAGAACAGTGATGAGTCTTTTGCAGTTGTCCAGCTGGCAGATGATAGTGGTTTAGACCAGGTAGGTGACAGCAAGAGTTAGAAAGTCAAGAGATTGCAGATACAGGACTGGCAAAACTTGGGGTTGACAGATATGTGGGATTTGAGGAAGAGGAAACAGGGTTAACTCCCAGGTTTCTGTCCTGGGCAAAGACTAGAGGGGGGTGCCATTCATTCATTGGCAAAAGGAACATCAAAGCTGTTGAGCACACAGTGACAGGCACATAGTACTTGGTGAAGGTTGACTACAATTATTATCATAAGTTCACTTCTAGATGTATAGTGCTGGACAAATATTGAGTAGGGAGTGGGATATATGGGTAAGTGAGATGGTCATGAGATGATTCAGTGTGATAATTTGCATAGGCATTTGGCACAGTGCCCTAAACACAAGAAGCTCAGTTAACATGAGTCTTCTCCTCCAATTTAGTCTCATAAGCAGAAAATACCATTATAGTCTATTTATTACTGACACCTTCAGGGAAGACATTTAACTAGGGTTGGCATCTGAGGGAGAAGGTTGAGTGGCACTGAGAAGAGTTGTATGATGGCCTGTTATATGGCTTGGCTCCTAAGACTGGCAAGGAGCCCTCACCTCTCACACTTTCTTCGTTCATGAGCTTAACTCAACTCAACTCGAGGTAGTCTGGGCAGGCATTATCATTCCCGTTTTACACATGGGTAACCTCAAATTTGAGACACTGACTTTCTCAAGGTCAAACAGTGGTAATGGTTCACGTGTGCCTGGAACTGAGGTCCTCCTGACTCAAAAGCTTGGGGTCCTTTCCATTGCACCACAGTACAGACTAATTTAGTGATGTGCCAGGCATAGCACCAGACCCTTTGCAAGGATTAACCTCTGATCCTTGAATTGGGATTATCATTGCCATTTACAAAGTAGAAACTGAGGATGGGGTGGGTATTAAATGATTTGTCAGAGATCACTCAGATAGGACAGGCACAGCTAGGATTAGCTTGTAGTTCTCCATCCGTTCAGTAGCAGGAATTTTACCAACTTTACTGCTAGACGCTGGTTGGTGACCGAGCTGGTTTATAAACATTGCTCGATTCAGGTAAACAGTTTCAGAGGAGGAAAAAAAAAGAAAAAAAAATGTACCGCGCCTGCGCGCTAGCCGCGGAGGCGGGGAGGTCACCGCGAGGGCGAGAGTACGCGGATGCCAGAGAGGGCGTGTTTGCTTCCCAAACACCCACTTGTCCCCACGATGTATGTCTGTTCCAAGGTTGGCCCTTCCGACTTGAGTGGTGGCATCTCTTAACCAATCACCGCGGAAGTCGGCCTGTTGCCAGGGTGAAGCGGCGCCCGCCTCTCCACCGGATGTGAATTTGTAGGTGGGTGGAACCGGAATTGACGCTTCAGGAGCTAGCTAAGCTCTGGGAGTGTTGATATTTTTGCAGTCAGTCCGGCTGACTTCGGCCAACTTAGAAGCCTGGGAGGGAGGCGATTTTAAACTTGCTGTGTGTGGGGCAAGCCACGCTGTTCTGTCGCAGTGCCCCCGCCTGCGAGTCAGAGCCTCGGGGAAAGAAGAGCCGGACGGAACCAGCGAAGGGAAAGGCAAGGAACAAGGGTGCCGACTTTGACTGAAATCTGAGACGGAGGGTAGGGGAGGGCGACGTCCGGTTCTGATTGGCCTGTGGACATCATCGAACACCCACGCAGCCGCTTCGATTGGTTGGTGCTCGCAATTGTTGTGGCGGCAACGAAGATTTTGCCCACGTACTTCCGAGCGAGAGGCGGGGGCTGTGCCCCAGCGCGCCTGCGCAACGTTCCAGGCCCCACCCGGTAGTTCAAGAACCTGCGAGGGGGCGGGGCGAAGAGGTGCTTGTTTTGGTTCTGTTTTCTTTGAAGCCGTAGGCCGGAACGAGCGTAGCAATAAAGTTGTTGGACTTGGAGAGGCTACGACAAGCTCGCCGCGGTGCCTTAATCTTGGACTTCACATCCGGGTTCTCCTGCCGCGTGACCCGCGTTCCACCGACGGTTCGAGAACCGGTGCCGCGCGCTCTTTATCCGGGTCCCGGCGATCCCGTCGTCCTTCGCGCACCACTGTAGCCCCCACCCCCCCATCCGGGTCCTCTCCCAGCGTCCCCCGCGCCGGGTTTTGCCGCCTGGCGCCGTGGCGGGCCCTCGGCCACAGCAGGCCTCTCCACCTCCTTGCGGGGGCCCTGGAGGTCCCGGCGGCGGTCCTGGTGATGCGTCGGGTACAGCCGCGACGGGCGTGGGCGCGGCGGGTGTGGTGGTGGGCGTGGGCGGTGCCGTGGGTGTGGGCGGCTGCTGCTCAGGGCCGGGTCACAGCAAGCGGCGGCGTCAGGCCCCCGGGGTTGGTGCGGTTGGCGGGGGCAGTCCTGAGCGTGAGGAGGTCGGCGCAGGTTACAACAGTGAGGATGAATATGAAGCGGCTGCAGCGCGCATAGAGGCCATGGACCCCGCCACCGTCGAGCAGGTATGGGCATTGGGGTGAGTAAGGTGAGTGAATGTGGTGGATGGGATCCCTAGACTGGTTAGGGACCCAAGGAAGGCTGTTTGAGCCTGCTTCAAGGGGCCTATGTCTTCTCTCTTGAGTCTGGCACTCTTTTCCCTGGTGATGGGGTTGCGAGACACTCTCCCCCCCCGCCCCCCCCCCCCCCCCCCCCCCCCCCCCCACGCGAGATTTGGGATTAGAGGCCGCAGATAAGATGGAGGATTTAAAGATGGGGTCTGTGGTCTCTTCTAGGACCCGTAGTTGATTGTGGGCCCTGGGGCCTCATCGTGTAGGGCCAGTAGGTAGGCACTCCCCAGGAGAGACCAGGCAGAATGGAATGTCTCCTGAGAGGGGAGTCTCGTGACTTTCCAAAGGACCTTGGTTTGTGTTTGGTGACTTGAGATTTCTTTTCCCCTGGAATGAGATTCTTAAGATTCCTTCTCCTGGGAATACAAGTAAGGTGGCGACCTCAGAGATAACGAGTGTCCCCAAGATACCTAAATTCTTTTCAGGGGTCTGAGACACTATATAGGGCAACCCTTTCTCCTCCTCAGGGGAATACAGCACACGGCCATGCAGCAGTGGAGTCTGAGATTCCCTTTTCTAGAAGTCAGGGAATTGACACACACACATACATATTCTCCCATGATCTCTTTCCACTTGGGTACTAGGATAAAGACCAACACGCTGGAGAAACTCCACTAGGGTACATGAGATTCATCCCTTTCTAAGTGACAGGGGTCTATGCTTTCTCTGAGGGATCTGAGACCTCCTTGGAGACAAGAGTCTGAATCTTTTTCTAGGAGCTTAAGCTTTTTTTAAGGGCTGGACACCCCTCCCCCAGGCCTGAACCTTTCTTCAAGAAAATGAGACTCACTGTTTTGTATTTTGGAGCCTAGGAGTCCCCCTGCCTATAGCCTGGGGCTTTTAGGTCTGAAGCCCTCTTCAGGAAATTGATATCCTCCCAGAGGTCCCTAGGGGACTTTGTTACTCAGGGACTGGTCTGAGTATTGTCTTTGGGCATCTGAGACCTACTGTGCCAAGGATTCTTGAGCTTTCTTTCAAGGATAAGAGATGCATACGTACCTCACTGACCAGTATGTCTGTAGAGATGAGGTCCACACTTCCCCCTCAAGGAACTTAAGGCACTCTACTTAGGAACAGGAGGTCTCCCCGGACCAGAATTGAGCCCTGAGACCTTTCCCTTGGGGCATGGATAGAGTCCCTCTGGAATAGGGTTCTGCATCTCCCCTCATGAGTTTGACTTTGCCTTGGGTTCATGAGACACCTCTCCCACCTTTGGACCTGATATTGGAAACTACCCTGAAAGAACTGTCACCTCACTTAAAACAGCATATGTGTACCCTAGTCTTAAGAGGCCTTTTGGGGTCATAAAATTTCCTGCCTTGGGGACTTGAGCCTAAGCCCACCTTCCACTTTGAACTGAATCCTGGCTGCTCATTCCCCTTGGGGACATGGGTAAGATGGGATTCTGAGGGAAGGAGTCTGAGTCTCCTCCCAGGGGCCTGAGCTTCCCCTCTGGGACTAGAGATCCTTTCCATTAGGGAGGGGCTTGAGCTCTCCTCTTGGGTATGAGGCTCTCCCTCCCTCCCCACTCCCCCAACCAGACAATCCTTTCTCATCTGGGAGAAGAATATGATGTCACCCCACTGTAGCCTGAGGCCATCCCCAATTGGACAGAGGACCTGGATACTTTTCACAGTCATAAGAATTCCCTGTCTGAGCTAGCTCAGGCTAGGAAGTTCCCCTTACTTTCTATGAGAAGGTTGTCAGGTAGGTACTGGGTACATAAGGACTAAGAAAGAACTCCTATCCTCAAGAACTAGGAGGATGTGCTGAGTCTCCCTGATTCAGCTGTGCTTCTAATTTTCTGGATCAGAGAAATATTCTGAGTTTTCTGAATAGCTTTCAACAAGCTTTTTTCTTCCAGAGAGAGGGAAGGGGTTTGGCACATCCCCACTGCAGGGGATTCTCCACCCACATTCTTTCCCCCCTTGGCTCAGGTAAATCTTTCTATGCTTCACAGGGTCCAAGGCCTTGTCTTGAGCCCTCATCCTTGTTCCCTTTTCATCCATTACTGCTTCTCCTGGCAGGATGAATCATCTTTCAGGGTCTGGACCAGGAGTTATTTCTTCTCTCCCTGGTCGTGATAAAGTGTGCCTTTCCTTTTCCTTATTTCCTACAGAAATAAGGAGTTTCAGGGGCAAAGAGAAAGTCATGTGCCACCATGGTGACTAGAAAGACACCTCCTTACATCTCCTTTGCTATCTCTTAGGCTAGGAGTTCTTCCTTTGTATTGTCCCCATAAGAACATGGAAGTCAAGTTGTGTGGTTGCATGATACCTTCCCTTCCCAGTGACAGAGGAGAGGTTTCGTGCTCTCTTTACTTCTTGGGACAAAAGGACAAAGAAGATGCTTCTTGCCTCACCTAGTTCAACTAGGGGATGAAAATAGGAGAGATTCTTCCTGCTCCCCTACTTGGTCCTGAACCATCATTGGAGCCATTTGTGAGCAAAGGGCCATTTAGACCCTTGGGAAAGGGGAGAGTTGTTGAGAAGGAGTCCACATGGTGACTCTGGTCCTTGTGACCATCCAGACTTCCTGTCTGTCCTGGTGCTGTTACTATATCTACTGCCTTTAAGAGCCCTTTTGACACCCCACAGGTCCCAGTGCTAGGAAGGTGGTGGTGTCAGGGATTTCCTTTTCTGGGTATGGCTGCCTTGCCAGAGTCTCCCCTGTGAAAAGAATGACTTGAGAGGGTCCTGAGCTTGAGGACCTCACAGAGCATTTTGAGAAGGGGGCCTGTGTGCTGAGATGGTGGAAGAAGGTGGACCTGGAACTGTAGCCAAGCTGCCAGGTTTCCCATTCTGGCTCTGCTGGGGCTTTTCTGGATGAACCAGAATTGTTCTGCCTATGCGCCCTGGGCCACAGTTTTCTTATTGATGAGGTAAAAGTTGGTGGGGCTTTGTTTAACTTTGGGATTTCAGGGAGCTCACACCAAAGCCCTTTGGGCCTGGAGGTGACAGGGTATGGTAGGTGTCTTTCAAGGAAGAACTGGGTTCCTCCCCCACTCCCCTATTCCCTTTCAGCCATCCAAGCTTGGTGGTCAGGACAAACAATCTGGTTAGTGTGAGGCTCAGGGTTGGCCTCACAGTGATTTTTGTGGCTAGCTAGCTTGGGGATTGTTAGGAGCCCTTTTGGATGGTATAGAGGTAGGTTTGTGTGTAGAAAAAGTTTAGGCTTTGGACCTGATAGGTCTGACTTCAAATCCCAGGACTCCTGCTTAGCTGCCAAAAGTACATGCATGCCCAGTGTTATTGACTCAATATCTGACCTGGCCCACCTTGGACCTTGGCTGATTCTTCTTCTGCAGTTTCCCCAGGATCATCTGGGTTCTTCCTAGGAGCATTTGCAACAATTTCATTTGGCACCTATGAACCTGCTGATTGCTCTGATCAGGAGGCAGAGTGGTATAGCAGCAAGTGGTTGGACTCAGCCTGGGCGTCTGAGTTTGAGTCCTGTATCTTCTGCAGTTACTTTTTCAGGGTCTCAATTTCTCCATCCATAAAATGGGTAGTGATGAAGAAAGAGGTTGTACTCATTGCTCTGTAATGTCTTTAATTCTCTGCTCCTTACTCCCCTCATCCATTGTGAAAGTCTTGAATGGGGCCCCTTGGCTTTTGGGGGTATGCTATGAAGTTTTAAGCAGTTACCAGCTTCCCTCTGCCCAGCCAGTGCTGTAGGCCTTTGTGTGTGTGTGTGTGTGTGTGTAACAGCTTTATTGAGACATCTTTCACACATCAAAAGGTGTACAATTCAGTGACTTTTAGTATATTCACAAGTTTTGCATCTGTCATCACAATCAGTCTCTTTTAGAACATTTTCTTCACCTCAGGAAGAAGCCCTGCATCATCATCATTGTCCCCTATCCCTTCATCCCTTCTCAGCCCCTGGCAACCACTCATTTACTTTTGTCTTGATTGATTGGTCTTTTCTGTACATTGCTTATAAATGGAATCATATACTATGCAGTCCTTTGTGACTTCATTTCTTTCATTTACCATAATGTTTTCAAGGTTCATCCATGCTGTAGCATGCATCAGGACTACATTTCTTTTTGTTGCAGAATAGTAGCATCTTCGTTTTTTAAAAATTTATTTTTATTTTTTGACTGCACCCAGTCTTAGTTGTGTCATGTGGGATCTGGTTCCCTTGCCAGGGATTGAACGTGGGCCACCTATATTGGGAGTGCAGCCTTAGCCACTGGACCACCAGGAAAGTCCCCTGCATCTTTTTTTTTTAATTATTCCCTCCCCCCCCCCCCAGTGGCCTAGTAGTAGGTTTGGGGCCTTGCTCTTTTCTGATTCCTCTGCTGCCCTGGAGAGCTCTGTTAGTCCTTAAAGAGCAGTGTGTCGTCTGTGTTGCTCACTAGATGGGTTGCCTATGTTTAGCCCATGGAGCAGAGCCAGTGTTCTGGGTGTTTTGGGGGAGAGAGGGGTGGTCTTGGCACCAGACTTGCTGGGACAGAGCTGTGTAGTCCAGAATACTAAAATCCTCTTGGCTGTGGGCTCCTCCCACACATCTGTCTGTCCATGAGCTACCACTGCTGCTGCCATCTCCCCCTGCCGCCTCCTTGTTTCATTGGCAACTCATTCATCGATAGACAGGGTCAGCAGCTTCCCAGGCTGGGAGGGGGGATTCCAGGCCCTTGCAGCTTTAATTCTAACCCTTTCCCTGGGGGTGGGATGCAACTGAGGTGGATCCTGTGGGGTGGGAGCCATGCCATGTTGCCTCACAGTTCACGCCGGGGAGTGCTACAAGGGTGTTGTGTTTGTGTCCTGTGGCTGCTGTGACAAATTACCACAAACTTGGCGGTTTAAAACAGCAGAAATTTATTCTTTCTTTGTTCTGCAGGCCAGAAATCCAAAATCAGTTCCACTGGGTCAAAATCAAGGCACTGGCAGGGCCAAACTTCTTCCAGAGCCTCTAGGAGAAAATCCAGTCCTCTTCCAGCTTCTGGTGGCTGCTACCATTCCCTAGTTTTTGACCGCATCACTCTGACCTCTGCCTGTCTTCTCTGTGTACGGGTGGTCTCTCCTGGCTGTGTCAGATCCTCCTCTGCTGTCCTAAGGACACTTGAAATTGCATTACATTTAGGTCCTACCCTACTCCAAGATAATGTCCCATCGCAAGATCCTTAACCACATTTGCAAAGACCCTATTTCCTTGTAATATTTACAGGTTCCAGGGATTAGGGCCTGATATTTTTGGGTGATCTTTATTCAGGAATGTTCTTGTTTCCCTTCCAGGGCGAGAAAGGGAACTCATTAAGTGCTATCATACTGACCAGTCTTGTAATATTTGAGTCTGTCCAGTATCCTTGTTATTGGGAGACTTGTTAGCCTATTTTACAGATTGGAAAACTGTGGCTCAGAGCAGTTAATTACTGACTAATAATTGTTGGAGTTGGATTGGAACCTACGTCAGTTGGGTCCCACAGGCTGCTTCAACTTTTCTTGAGCCTTTGAAGCAGTAGGTTGCAGTTTTGTACCTCAGATGCCGTCGTGTCAGAGAGCTTTACCCAGCCCCACTTTGGAGGCTCAGAGATGTGGAGGGAGTTGCACACAGGTTCAGCCCTGGGCTTGCAAGATTCAGGGTCTGGACTTTTTTATTTCAATTCATTATTATTTTGGCCATGCCATGCCTCATGCAGGATCTTAGTTCCCTGACAAGGGATTGAACCCATGCTCCCTGTGGAGTTTTAACCACTGGACCACCAGTGAAATCCCAGGGTCTGGACTTGACTTTCTTAGGCCAGGGCATTGATGTAGCTTATGGCTCGGCCTGCTCCCACCTCTTACTCCCGCCAGCCCTTCCTTCCTGGGCCATTTTCCTAAACAGCATCCAAGTTGGCACCTTCTTTGGAGGTTCCTGTCTAGCTGGGGAAGGGATAAGACTGTGTTCTGAGCTCTTGGGACTCTAGGCTCTCTTTGAAGCCCAGGACCATTACCTCCCTGTTTTCTCCCCACAGCGGGAGAGAAGGGGTTTCAGCCAGAGCCTGCTCCAAAGGCTGCTGGTGCCAAAGGCAGTGGGTGATTGGTTGTCTGGCTTCCATATCCAGACCCAGATGCCAGTCTGGCTGCCCCAGGACCAAAGCCTTGGCTTGTGTGAGGGGAACACACAGGCCTTCTCCACTTTTAAGGACAAATCAGGATTTCCCCAAATGGGCTGCCAGGTGTGTTTCCATGCTGTGATTCATGAAGCTTCTCTTGTTGCCTCTACACTAGGCTTTGCTGATGCCCCAGTCCCAGTTCCTTTCTGCCTTTATAAAATGAAGATAATACTTCCTGCCACCTGAGCTGTGGTAAGGACAATTAAATGAGATTACCTTTTGCATCTGACACCTGACATGGTAGGCATTTGGCTAATAAGAATTCATCTTTTTTTCCTGGCTCTGCCCTGCTTACTTGCCTAGTCCTCTCCAGGACTTCAGCTCTGCTGAACTCATTGTTGGGTCTCTGGCATCCGTGGAATGACAGAAGTGATTACTAAGCATTTCTGGATGTCTTGGTATTTTACTTCTTTACTCAGGTGGCACCTCCTCTCAGATGCCAGCCTTAATGATTGACTCAGGTCCCTTGCTCTGTTTCACAGCAACCCTGTGTTCACTTCTTTTAAAGCCCTGCTCACACTTGTGTGTGGATATTGCCTATTTCCCCACCCCCTAGCAGTTTATGAATTTATCACAGTTGAGACCAAATCTGATTCATTTTTCTGTCCTCATTGCCAGTCCAGGGTCTGACTTAGTAACTGCCTGGTAAACCTTTGTTGGATGAATAGGTAGGAGCACCTCTCATGCTCTTTGACCCCCTTTTCCCCTGTTGATCTCCCCCCCCCCCCAATACTTGAAGTCAGGAGGTTGCTGTGTGCACTGCTTCTTTAGAACTTCTCCTGTCCAGTCTGGGATTATCGTCATAGTTGCAGCTTCTCTGCAGGTGCCATGGTGTTGGAAGATGGCTGACCTGCAGGGCAGGGATAGGGAACTGGCTGGAGCAGGCTAGTCCAGTGTGACAGCCTCTGGGGAAGGAGGGACACCTGGACTGCTGGAATGTTGTACATAAACAAGAGTTTGTGCTGCCTGTGGAAGCCCCTTAAGAGCTTCCAGGTGCCTTTGTCATCTCTGGAAAGCCAGCCACACCTTCCTGGGGTGTAGGCCCTGATGGTGGCGCTATAGGGTATTCTCTTGTCCCCCATGTCTAGCCACTCACCTAGGACTTTCTGAGGGCCTCTCAGTTGTACGTCCCCTATGTGTGTGCTGGTCTTGTCCCTTCTCTTTCTGGTGACCCCCTCACCAGTGCATGGTATGTTGTTTAGAAAGCCTTTTCAGTTCCTGAAACTTCTCTAAGTCTCTTGACAGCTCTGTCAGGCAGCTCAGATATCCCCCTTTTGATAGGAAACTGAGGTTTGAAGAGTTCAGGTAGATTACCTAAACTCATGCAGCAAATGAGTGACAGAGCTGGACTTGGACCCAGAGCTTTTATCCTCTAGATCTTGTGCTTCCTACTTTGCCAGGAGTTTCTCTCATCTGAGATAGTTAAAAATGGCCTGCAGAGAGGTGATCCCCTCTGTCTGATCAGCAGTAGCCCAGATCATAAATCCCTGGGCTGGGTGGTGTGACCAAGGAGCAGCCTTGAGATTTCTGGCCCCTGGGCCTGATGCAGGCTCAGGCTGACTTCTTCTGGTGACCAGCAGATGGCGTGAGGAGGCTAAGAAAGGTCTGCTGGTTTGTTTAGTGTTGAGATGGAAAATGTTTTAAGTGACACGTGGACATTTTTTTAATAGACTTTATTTTTTTTGAGCAATTATAGGTTCATAGCAAAACTGAGCGGAAGGTACAGGGAGTTCCCATATACCTCCTGGCCCCACACATGGAGAACTTCTTCCAGTATCAGTGTCCCCCACTAAGTGGTACATTTGTTATAGTCATTGGACCTACATGGACACGTCATAATCACCCAAAGTCCATAGTTTGCCTTAGAGTTTGCTCTTCGTGTTGTTCATTTTCTACAGGTTTGGGTAATTGTATAATGACATGTAACCACCATTACAGTATGTAGCATAGTTTCACTGCCCTAAACATTCTATATGTTCCACCTATTCATTAAAACGTTTGCAAATACACATTTGTACGGGTTCACTTAACCCACACCTTTAGGGCCAGCTGTACATTTGAATTTAGAAATATTTCAGAATTTTAGGAAAGTCACTTGGATGTAAACTGTGTATTATGTAACACTTTGCATGGGGTCTATAGCAGCACCTCAAAGTCAAACACCTGGATTTGGAAATGTTTGAATATTCGCTTTTAAGTGAAATAGATGGGTTCTTGTCAGCTCAGGTCAGATTGTGATGCTAAATGAGTTAGATAAAGACTTGGTTTTAAAAACTTTTAGAATTTTGGATAACATATTGTATACCTGTTATAAATGAAATGGTGAAGTAGAATCACCTGTAATACCAACACTTAGGGATAATACTTTGTTGTGTAAAGTGTTCCCAACTTTGTGTGCATGTGTGTTTGTATACTTACGCATATATATATGTATATGTTAAATGTCACAAGTGAGATTGTACTTTGCATATATTTTGCTTTATAATATCTTGGAATTTTCTGGCTGTATTGTGGGGCTCGGGATCTAGGCTCTTGCCAGTCAACTCCCTCCTCAATATCTCCCCTACCCTAAATGACTAGAGGGTCCCCAGGTGAATCTCCTCTAGGTCAAGTCAGGTTCTCCCCCTTGGCACTTGCTGGTTCTGGGCCTTTGGCTGCATAGTGGATAGGCCCAACATGGAATTCCCAGGATGGTCAGCAGGGGTTAGAGTACAGATGAGGCCCCTCTAGGAGCAAGCCTTCTGCTTACACAGAGACTGATTTGCTAGAAGGGTCTCCTGCTCCACATGCATGGAGTGGTCTAACAGGGCAGAGAACTGGACCTTGTCCGTTGTCCTCTCAGCCAGTCATCTGGGTCCCTCAAGAGCTCAAGGACAGGGCCTTGGGGGTGAGGGTATGGGTCTTTCCTGTTGATGATCCCTACCTCTTCCCTCCAGCAGGAGCACTGGTTTGAAAAGGCCTTGCGAGACAAGAAGGGCTTCATCATCAAGCAGATGAAGGAGGATGGTGCCTGTCTCTTCCGGGCTGTAGGTGAGTCTTTGCCTTAGCCTTCAGGAGCCTAGGGCTGCCCCTGAACTATGTTGCAGTTGTCAGGAGTGACTTGTGTGACAGGGTTGGGGGCAGAGTTAGCTGGTCTTTTAGGGACTCCTGGCCTCAGCCTAAGTTAGTAGCTGGCCTCTAGCTTTCGGTCACAAGGCAGTGTGGTGGTGTGAAAGTAATAATAACAGTATTAATACTGATGGAGAAAATAACATTACTTAGGAACAGATTGGAGAAGTAAATGGCAACCCACTCCAGTATTGTTGCTTGGTGAATCCCAGGGACAGAGGAGCCTGGTGGGCTGCTGTCTATGGGGTCGCAGAGAGTTGGACACAACTGAAGCGACTTAGCAGCAGCAGCAGGGACAAACTGCTCTGTCAGGTGCTACAGGAAAATTTTTTAATTCTCCTCCAAGCTAGATAAGTGAAGGACCATTGCTTCCAGTTGTCAGATGAGAAAAGCAGCTCAGAAATAGAGAGTGACTTACTTAGGGTCAGAGAGTACATAGTGCAGTCAGGAGGCAGAGTCTGGGTTAGGTTAGTGAGAGGCCTGTGCTCTTAACTGAAGCACATAGCTGTCACCTTGGGGTCACAGAACTTAAAAAAAAAAAAACTTAACACAAAAGTAGAATAGTGAACCCTTTGTGTACCCATCACTCATCTTCAAAATAATTGTTAACATATTGCCAACTTTATTTCATCACTACCCCACCCACTCTTTCATTTTCCTGAAACAAAGATTTTTAAAAACAGAATCCCAACATGGATCATCTCATTCGTAAATATTTCTATATGTTTCTCTGAAAAATAAGGACTCTTTCTTTTTTAACATAACAAAAATGCCATTACATGCATAACAAAATTAATAATTCCTTAATACCATCTACTGTCCAATCTGAGCTGGATCTTTGAAACTTCTCTGGCTCTGATCTGTGACTCAGCAAGCAATTGTTAAGTTAAGGCAATGGCAACCCACTCCAGTATTCTTGCCTGGAGAATCCTGTGGACAGAGGAGCCTAGTGGACTGCTGTCCATGGGGTCACACAGAGTTGGACATGACTGCAGCGACTTAGCATGCATGCATTGGAGAAGGAAATGGCAACCCACTCCAGTATTCTTGCCTGGAGAATCCCAGGGATGGCAGAGCCTGGTGGGCTGCCATCTATGGGGTTGCACAGAGTCGGACACGACTGAAGCGACTTAGCAGCATGCTAGTGTCCAAGGGAAGCTGGGAGTGTGATTCACTCCCTTTGGAGCTCTGATGTTTCCCAAGGAAACATCCCCTCTGATAAGAGCCTTGACCTGAGAGTCAGAAGCCCTTTAGTTCTCCCCCTGACTCATAACTTCCGTTTTCCCATATTTGAAATGGTGTTGATTCTGCAGTTTTTAGTGGTGCCTCAGAGTCACAAATGTTTGAGTGGGTGATAGAAAGTTAGGTGGGGTGAGTGGTTGTCTCCCTATTCTACCAAGCAGAAGAGGTTCAGGCAGTGGACTTTGATGGGCTGGGAAAATTCCAACTCTCTCATCCCTGTGGCTCAAGTCCGTGTTCTCCCAGGGGTGTTTCCTAGAGAAAGAGATAGGTTTGGGGGGCATCTTGGACCAAAGGAATGCAAAGAAAGAATAGATGGGGACCCATTAGGTGTTAGGCCTGTGCCGAGACCTTAGTCTGAATGTGGGGTAAGCAAGGCTGCTGTTGGAGTGAGGGTCAGAGAATGCAGCTGGGCATCTGTGTCTTGGGTGTTATTTGACGTGGACCTTAGGCCTATTTAAGACCAGGCTTGGCAGTAACCCATGTAAGAAACAAAATTTAAGTGTGTGTTCATCTGACTGGTCTTCCCAAGCACCTTCTGACCCACATCTTCTGACCCTTCCCCCTCAGTGAGACCTTCTAGTAAGGGGCCTAAGCTTACAGGAAGAGCTGACCATGACAGGTTGAAGGCCTTTCCCTGTCAGCACTATGGCTACACATTTCCTCTGACTGGGCTGCACTTGGCTTTTCTTTGTAAAACCTCAGAAGCCCCATGGCCTCTGCCTGAGAAGTACATGACCCCTGGGTCTCTAGGCCTCATGTGGAGGTTTCCCTGGGGCAGAGTGCACAGGACATGTAACCCCAGAGGGGACTTTATCCTCATGCTTTCTGTTGCCCGTCTGCTTCCAGCCTCGCTGGGACAGGGACAGGTGGTAGTTGCTCTAGGTTCTGGTGAGAAGGGTGACAATTTTTAACTTCCTGTCACATTGAATAGTAGAAGGACCACAGAACTGAGGGTTGGAGTTGGAACGGGGAGAGACAAAGAGACCACTCTTGTTCCTTGACCCTGTCTGATTGCTCGGCATTCCACGTGGTGCTTCAGGTTCACCTGCAAAATTGGGATCCTTATCCCATGAGACCAGGTGAGAAGAGCCTCCCACTGAGGCTCAGGAAGGGGAAATGACATACCCAGGGTAAGTAGTGGCAGAACTGGCATGGGAACCCAGATGTATCCAAAGGACACATTCTTTCTATGACCCTAGGAAAGCCCTAGCTTCTTAGGAGTCAACTGGCTGGGTGACTGTGGCTATATTCCTTGATCTCTAGGGCCTTGCTTCTTGCAGCTAGGAGCCTGTGGCCCTCTACTCTTAGGAATCCTGAGGCAGGTGGGTTTTTACCCTCTGTTTTGCCTCTGAGGTCTAGGTGTCCCCAGTGTGAACCAGTATCCCATGCTTGTGCCCAGTTCTCTCTTTTACCACCTATTGGAGACTCGTGGGCATCAGCATAGGCTGGGCTGGAGTGAAAGTGGGAGCCTGGGTCCCAGAGTATCCTGGGTCCCCAGTATCCTGTGGTCCACCCTGCCCCTGGTGTGCTCAGATAACCTTCTCCTGGAAACGTGAGTCTGCATCTCTCTTCCCTCCCTCTCTGCATATGGCTTTGACTCAGCAAAAACCTCTGGCCCTGGCCTTGGCCTCTGTGGGCAGAGTGGTGGCCGTGTGTGTGGGTGTCTTGCATGGGTTGTGGGGATGCAGCTGGGGCTCTGCATGTTTCGGTGGTGGGGCCCAGAAACATTAGCTAGGTCTACTGCTCAAGGCCTTTTGGTCTTGGAACATGGATTATCAGCATTGGAGGAATGGATCTTAGATCAATTTGTCGTTTTATAAATGGGAAACAGTCCTCAAGAGAAGATCGGGGCCTTATTATCTAGGTCACACAGTCAGTATCAGACATTCGTGTTTGAGGTTGAAGCAGGCCAGGAGAAGAATCCCATGGACCACCATGTACACCGGCTTCTATTGACCTCTCTGCCCTGCCTCCTTCAGTTTTTCCATCTTTGCGGTGGGAATTCTTGAGTAGGGGAGCAGGCATCTTGAGACCAGGCTATTGAGAGGGCTGAGTTTTGCTGGCTCCCCGACTGAGGGTGTGGTAGTTGGGGCCACTGGCCAGGTATGCACTGCAGCTGCTCAACAGGCAGGTGAGACCTTTTGCTTGGTTCATCTCCTCGGTGGGGCCAGGGTTCCCACTGGGCCATGAGAGAAGCAAGGAACAGAGCAGGTCCCATCTCCTGCTACTGCTTTGTGTATACATGTTTGTATGTGTGGTTTTTTAGATTCCCTGCAGGCACCAAGCTTCCTTTTCTGTTCTCAGTGGAACTGGCTGTGGTTCTTCTAGCAGGCAGTCAGGCACGCAGCAGCCTGGTAAGGAGGCAGTTCCCAGGTGCATCTAAAAGAAATGGCAGGGCCTTGTACTTAAATTGTTTAGATAGTCCAGGCTCTCCTGTCTTGCTCTTCCATATAATTTCTCAGCAAATAGTGACTACATTTTGGTGAACCTTCCCCCAAGTAGCAGGGGAGGGAGGTTGAGACAAGTCTGTTAGAGCCATTGGCTCTTCCCCTCCTACCAACCCTTGGCAAAGGCTCGGAAGGAGGTGAGGGGGGGGGGTTCTTCAGTTTGTACAGCCTCGCATTCTGTCCAGCCTTCAGTCTTTGCTGGTTGGTGGCAAGGGCATCTACTTTTTGAATGCAACAGTTCTCTGTAGTTGTGGTGGTTGTGTGGGTATTTGACTTCAAGGAACATGTTTTACTGACTGTGTGCATGCACATGTGCATTTCTGTGCTGCTGTCTCTGTGTGCTCAGAGAAAGGACATCCATAGGGTGTGGGGAAGGAATGTTCATGCTGACCTCTGTGGCCTTAGTGAGGGGTACAGGTCCTAATATCTGTAATCTCTGACCACTTGCAGGCCTTTCCTAGGTTCCAGCTGATTCCTGCTTGTGTTGGTAGGGAAACTGAGGCAGACAAGCCTGACCTAGGGAGTCAGGTGGCTAAGGTGACAGCCAGATTGGTGGTGGTAATGTCTCCTGCGGCATCAGTGCTCAAGGTTACCAGTTATTCCTTGAAAACCTGGCCTCTCCTTCAACCTCCCCAATGTGTGGCCTTGAGCCAGCTGTGCCACATTTCTGTACCTTAGTATCCCTCCTGTGTTAAGTAGGGTTTTTTAGGGTAAGGATGGAGTGAGCTGGGGTGTGAAAAGGCCTTGGCAGAACCAATTGCAGTAATGTACTGAAGATTTGTGAGCCCTCTTTGGGTTGGGGACAGAGGTGAGGGAGTGGGGGACCCCCTTCCAACTGGACTCTGGGAGGGGAGAGCAGGTGCAGATTGCCCACAAGTGCAGTGTCAGCAAGAGGAGGAGTTTCAGTTTCTATCAAAACAAGTGCTCTGAATTCCCCTACCTCTGCAGGACCATTGGGCTCTTTTCCTCCACCTTGGCCCCCACAGGGAAGTCCAGCTCAGTCCCTAGTTCCATGTGCCAATCTCTAGGGAGGGAGGAGGGCTTTCTGGAGGACAGAGGTGGGGCTGGCAAATTCAGACAAGCATCTCCACAGTGAGGATTTCCTGTGTTCTTAGTCCTGCACTGGGTGTTTTTATGTCATCGAGACGGTCCTTCTACTGTCTCTCATTGGCAAGGTATTGTTGCTCTCTTTCCTTGGTTCAGAGATGGACATTTTCTTCCACATTGATGATCCCCAAACTAGGGTATGTCTTAGAACCTGTGAAGTGGGTTTCCCTCTCCCAAAAGCTATGATTAAATACATGTTCTGTACCACCTATTGGTGCATCTTAGAATTGAAGAGGGAAGGTGGTATTTTACATTTTATAGGTAAGTTGAGAAAGTCATCCTTTGCCCACACTTAAGGACCCTATTTTGTGAGGCTTGTGTTACTGATTTGATGTTAATTTGGTTGCTAAAGATTTGAACTACGGGCACAAGGTAGGCTAGTGGACCTTTGGATTCAGCAAAGGTAGAGAACCAGTTCTGCCTGCATGAGGAGAGAGAACCTAGACTCTGAGTTTGGGACTTTCCTCTGGCTGATGAAGTACAACAGAAATGAGGAAGGACTTAAGTGGTTCTGGTGAAATTCTAGCTGACTTGTGGGTGACTGGCTATCTGAAGGAGTCATCGTCCTCCTTATGACAAACGGAACCCCATCTCTTGAACATTTGCAGCAGCAGTAGCAGCAGGTATTTGGCAGACCATCCCCTGTAGTATTGACAATGTCCCATGAGAGGAAAAGGAGTTATTTTCCCCAGTTTATAGATGAGGACATTGCAGCCCAGAGAGGTTAAGGCCTTGTCCAGTACCACACAGGAGGCAGAAGAGCCTTTTTGTCAAGCAGGGAGTCAGTGGCAGGGAAATGGGAAATTCTTGGGAAGGTTCTCTCCCAACTCCCTTTCCGGTCCCATAGTCTCCCCTTTCCCCTGACTCCTTACATCTGGCATCTCAATTGGGTAGATCCACCTCCCAGGACTGGAAATGCCTGTTGCCTGCTTTCCTGGGAACATCTCAGCCACCTTCCTGAGCCTGGCAGACCAACCCCTATTTAACCCCTTCACTCCCATCTCAGTTCCTGTTTACTGCAGCTGCCAATAGCACTGCCTCTTCAGCACCCCAGGTTTATTCTACGGAAATAGCTCCTCAAGCAGCTCCGGCAGCCACAGCGGGTTTGTGGTCCTGGCTTCTAAGAAAGGCAGTGGCAGGGGGCCCCCAGTCTGTGCGCAGGGCATGTGACTTGCTGGAAGTGCTGCAGAGGGGGAGGGGGGTGAGGGAGAGTGTGGCCACAGAAACCACATCCTTGTTTACATCGGTAAAGGGGCTACCCCTTCCCACCTCACAACCCCCACTCCCCATCACCCTCTGGTCTCTGCACCTCCAGGAGGACATGAGACAGGCATGGGCCCCGTTTTCTATCTCAGAGCTGCCTTTTTCTCTTTATCTCGCAGAACCCTTCAGGGAGGGGGAAGGGGGGAGGGCAGCAAAGGCGTTCTTCTGGCGATTCTTCGCAGAGGTAGACTGGCTGTTATGGAAGAACTCTGTGGTGTTCGTTGCAGGACCTGCCCCTGCTCCAGTGTCACAGGGAGATCCCATCAGAGCAATGGTCCTCTGGGGAGACGAACGGACATTTACTCTTCGTCTTAGCCAGTGGACATCAGGCATGCTTCATCTTCAAGCCCACTTTAATTTCTCACAGAGAAGGCTCCCTGACTCCCCTAGCCTCCCCAATCCACTCAGCAAACTTGCATTTCTTGCACTGCACCAGGCTCTGAGCCTGGGGGTAGACTTGTATGTGAACTGCCTTCTGCCCTCAGTGGGAGCCCAATGTGATCAGGCAGATGAAGTCTGTATGCATCTTTGATAAATCTGGTGATGGGGTGCCTTGGAGGAGTGGGAAACTGTTTTAAGAGTGCATTGGTGTTTGACAAGTAGTGTGTGAACATGTGTGAGCATGTGTGAACATCCTCAGTTGAGGCAGAGAGAGCCTAGTTCTTATTGTGACCAAAGCCCTGTGATGCCTGGACGTTAATTAAGTTAGGTGCATATGTGTCTTATCTCTCTTGTAGACCACATGCTTCTGGTGGATAGGGTCAGAATTTTACTCACTTCTGTCACCTTCATAGTACCCCACATTCAGGCCCCACTACAGGACAGGGTCTCTGAGTGACTGCTCTGTCCCAAGACTAGGGCTAGTCGCTTCACACCTATTATCTCATTAATCCCACAAGAGGCTTGCCAGGAAGTTACCCAGCTTGATCCCATTTTACACTTGAGGCATATGAAGCTCAGAACACTTGGGTCATTTTGTTTACTGGTACCTAACAGAACTGGGCTTAGAGCCCAGTTATTATCCCTTCCCTTTCCCTCTTTTTTCACCTTATAAAGGCCATAATGACTCCTGAGAGTCAGGAAACTGAATTCTATAGTTGAATCTGTCATGGACTGACTTCTGGGTGACCTTGGTCAAATCACAAACTCCCTGAGCGTCAGTGTCCTCATGTGAAGAGCGAAGGGTGGTGTATGTGGAATCGATGGTGCTTAAGGCCGCTTATCTATACAAGATACCTGTGGTTCTGTCCCTTTTACCTGTACTCTTGTTCGTAAAGACTGTCCTTGCCTGCATTTTTTTTTTCATGACCATATTCCAGCCCACAAAGCCAAGACTCTCCATTGCTTAGGGTAGGTAAGGAAGTTTCCCTGGTCCCCAGCCCTTCACCCCCCGAGGATGTTCTGATTTAGAACTCTTCTTTGGTGGCAGCTCTGACTCCAGCCTCTCCTTCTGTCCCCACAGCTGACCAGGTATATGGAGACCAGGACATGCATGAGGTTGTTCGAAAGCACTGCATGGACTATCTGGTGAGACCTTGCAGAGACCTTGGGGCGGGGGCAGAATGGGAGGATCTCTTCTCCGCATAGACATTGATCATCTGATCTTTTCTGCAGATGAAGAATGCTGACTACTTCTCCAACTATGTCACAGAGGACTTTACCACCTACATCAACCGGAAGCGGAAAAACAACTGCCATGGCAACCACATTGAGATGCAGGCCATGGCAGAGATGTACAACCGGCCTGTGGAGGTGTACCAGTACAGCACAGGTACTTCTGTGGTGGGTAGGTGAGCAGTTGATCACTCCTGGTCTGAGCCTGTTCCACCCAGCCCACTGTGAATCCTCTCTCCTCTTTCTCTGCAGAACCCATCAATACATTCCATGGGATCCATCAAAATGAGGATGAACCCATTCGTGTCAGCTACCATAGGAATATCCACTACAATTCAGTGGTGAATCCTAACAAGGCCACCATTGGCGTGGGACTGGGCCTGCCGTCATTCAAACCAGGGGTAAGCACGTCCCTGTGCCTCGAATGGGTACTGGAGATAGACCAGAAGACCAGAAATTTCATGTTGGCGCCTCATTTTTGCCCCTTGCCCACAAAAATGTCCTGTTAACCTCTCTGAGTCGCCCCTAAGGTCTCACCTCTGAAATTAGGAAGTTATCCAAGGTGATCCCTCAGGGCTCATTTTGTGGTCTCAGTTTGCCTGTCTGAGCTGGTTCACCTATCTTTTGTGCCTGTTGAGAGTTGGCATTTTGAGATATGGAGTCAAACTTGGGAACTGTGAACCAGGGCTCAGTCTAGGTGTTTTGGTACCCACATGGATCCTCCTCAAAACCTCAGCACATACGGACAGCTGTGGTCACAAAGACTTGAAGTGTAGGCCTGGCCCCACCACTTGCTGGCCTTAGTATCTAAGTCAGGTTGTACAAGTGATTTGACTGGCAGCTTGGGTGATACAGAAAGTGCCTAACACTGGGTCTGGTACCTATTAGGTGCTCAGGAAAGGGCAGTAGATTGTCTCAGCACACACTGACAGATTTCATTCTCTGTCTCAAACAGTTGTCTGTTGGGGATTTTGCTATCTTCTATTGAGGTTTCACTTCCTACAAAAGTACTCCTGCCTCATTTTAGGAAACACACCCTAACACAACACACCCTCCAACATAGAGGTTTTTTGATGTGGACCATTTTTAAAATCTTGATTGAATTTGTTACAATATTGCTTCTGTTTTATTTTTTAGTTTTTTTGTCTGATAGGCATGTGAGATCTTAGTTCCCCAATCAGGGATCAAACCTGTACCCCTTGCATTAGAAGGTGAAGTCTTAAAACCACTGGACCACCAAAAGTCCCCATAGAGGGTTTTTTTGGTTTCATTTTTTTAAATAAACCTTTAATCTCAGAACAGTTTTAGATTTATGTAATTATTGTGATTAGAGAATTCCTATATACTCCACTGTGATTAACATATTAGCATAGTATGTTTGTCACAATTAATGAACTGATACTGATATATTAACTAAAGACCATACTTTGTTCAAATTACCTCAGTTTTGGGCTTCCCAGGTGGCTCAGTGGTAAAGAATCTGCCTGCCAATGCAGGATACACAGGTTTGATCCCTGGGTGCGGAAGATGCCCTGGAGAAGGAAATGGCAACCCATTCCAGTATTCTTGCCTGGGAAATTCCATGCCCAGAGGAGCCTTGGAGGGCTACAGTCCATGGGGTCGCAAAAGAGTCGGATACAACAGTGACCAGATGACGACAACAAATGATGATACCTTCAGAAAGGGATAAAACAAAAACAAATTATCTCAGTTTTTCCCCAATGATCTTATCTGTTCCAGGATCCCATTCAGGATACTGTATTACATTTAGTTGTGTGTCTCCTTTCACTCCTCCTGGCTGTGACAGTTTCTCTGAATTTGTTTTCCATCTGTTTACAGATTCTATGACCTTTTCTAGAATGTCATATAATTGGAATCATACAATATATAGTTTTTTCAATGGCTTCTTTTAGGTAACACTGTGCATTTAAGAGTCATTCCTTACTTTTAGTGATTTGATCACTTGTGTCTTTTCTTTTTCCTTTTGTTAAAACTGTGAGTGCCCTAAGTTTTTTTTTAATAGATTTAATTATTTAGAATAGTTTTAGATTTACAGAAAAATTAAGAAGATAGTGCAGAGTTCCCACATACCCTCCTCCCTTTTGCACAGTTTCTCTATTATTCACACATGTCAGATAAGTGTAATACATTTGTTCTATGAACCAGTATTGATACATTGTTATTAACTAAAAGTCATCTTACCTCTTTATACTCCTTTGTCTTTGATGGTTTCTCACATTTTCATGTTTTTGGTGACCTTGGCAGTTTTGAAGAGTACTAGTCATGTATATTGTAGGGTGTTTGTCTTTTGGAATTTGTCTGATGTATTTCTCATTAGACTTGAGGTTATGGGTTTTAGAGAGGGGGATCACAGTGGTAAAGTGCCATTCTTATCACATCATATCAACAGTATGTACTGTGAACATGATTTGTAACTGTTGATGTTGACCTTGATCTTCTGGCAGAAGTAGTTTTATCAAGTTTTCTCCACTGTAAAATTACTCTTTCCCTACCCCCACTCCCTTTTCCATGTTGTACTGTGTGGAAGGAAGTCATTTATAGTCCACACTTAAGAAGTAGGGATTAGGGGGACTTCCCTAGTGGTCCAGTGGCTAAGGCTCCACCTTCCCAATGCAGGGGGCCCATGTTTGATCCCTGGTCAGGGAACTAGATCCCACATGGTGCAACTAAAAAACCTAGTGCAGCCAAATAAATAGATAAATGTAAAAAAAGAAGTAGGGATTAGGGAATTTCCTGGTGGACTAGTTGTCAGGACTCCACATTTTCACTGCCAAAGGCCTGGGTCATATTCCTGCAGTGCAGTGAAAAAAAAGGTGAGGGTTATACTCCATCTCTTTGAGGGCAGAGTATCTACATAAATTATTTGAAATCCTTCTGCAAGGGAGATTTATCTCATTCTCATTTATTTAGTCATTTATATCATTGTGGATGATGGATATTTATTTAATACTTTTACACTTTGGGTTATAATCCAGTACTATTTTTATTTTGATGCCCAAGTTTTTCCAGTTTTGGCTATTGGGAGTTCTTTTAGTTGGTTCCTGCATCTCTTTGAAATATCTCCATCATTGTGGTAGGGTTTGTGTGTTTGTGAGGGGGTGTTTTTTGGCTTGTTTGTTTTCATTTTTATTTTATTTTTCATTTTCAATTTTGAATACTTAACTTTCTGGCACTACAAGGTGCTAGAGGCTCATCTTGTATATTTCTTGCCCCATTTCTAGAACCAGCCATTTCTCCAAGGAGCCCTAGTTCCTTTTATTGGAGAATCTTATATTAGAAACCAAGATCTGGGTGCTGAGTATACTCTTTGCTATTGGGGTATCCTTGCTTTAGGCCCTTTCAGCTGATAGAGCAAGGAGGTATATGTATATACTAACCTGTGTGTATACACATGTCTAGAAATATTTCTGTATGTAACCATCTGTATCTGTATGACACTATGGTTCTTACTGATACCTTTAACTGAGGGGCACCTTGTTTTAATTTGCAATTCCTAATGACAGATGATGTTGAGCATCTTTTCATGTGCTTATTTGCTATCTTCTTTGATGAAATTGTGTGTCTAGACTTTTTTGCCCATTTTTAATTGGCTTATTCTAACAGCATTTTGCATTCTTTTTGGACTGTTAGCCACGGGTAAAAAATTTTATTTTATACCATTACTTAGTGTACATACACGTTGGTGTATGGTGTATATATGTGCATTAAAATAAGTTTTCACTGAACGAAATTTACTGTTACTCTGTGGGATATGCACTGATACTTTGAATTATTCCTTTTAAAAAATCTGTTATGTCTCACAGCCTGACACTCTCCTATGGTGTTCCACAACTCATAGTACCCCACACCATGCTGACACTGTCCTCTTGTCTACTTAAATACCCCAATACTCAAATCTACCCTGTGCACACAGGACTCATTTCTTAGGTGATCTTTTCTCCTTGTCCCATCTGGGCATAGGTGAAGAAGGCCTCAGCAACTGAGTCATCAGTCAGTGAGGCGACTTTAAATTGTAGCTCTGGCTGGAGGGCACCTGACTGCCCCAGTCTTAGTACATCAGTTGAGGTGTCTTGGAGGTGGCAGCAGGACTTCTGAATATAGGAATTCGAAATGACAAGTCCCCCAACCCAAGCCTGCCTTCCCCTAGTCCCTGATGAATAGGCAGCCTGCCCAGGGGGGTGCTTAGTAAGAGTATCTGCCTTCCTGCCTCTCTTCTGAGCATGTGAGCCCACCTCCCTGAGCCACTTCTGGCTCTTGGCCAGAGTTCAGTGTGTCACCTCACATCCCTGTTCCTCTCCCACTCCTTGCAGTTTGCAGAGCAGTCCCTGATGAAGAATGCCATAAAAACATCATGGCGCGGCGGGTGTGGTGGTGGGCGTGGGCGGCGCCGTGGGTGTGGGCGGCTGCTGCTCAGGGCCGGGTCACAGCAAGCGGCGGCGTCAGGCCCCTGGTGATGCGTCGGGTACAGCCGCGACGGGCGTGGGCGCGGCGGGTGTGGTGGTGGGCGTGGGCGGCGCCGTGGGTGTGGGCGGCTGCCGCTCAGGGCCGGGTCACAGCAAGCGGCGGCGCCAGGCCCCCGGGGTTGGTGCGGTTGGCGGGGGCAGTCCTGAGCTTGAGGAGGTCGGCGCAGGTTACAACAGTGAGGATGAATATGAAGCGGCTGCAGCGCGCATAGAGGCCATGGACCCCGCCACCGTCGAGCAGCAGGAGCACTGGTTTGAAAAGGCCTTGCGAGACAAGAAGGGCTTCATCATCAAGCCGATGAAGGAGGATGGTGCCTGTCTCTTCCGGGCTGTAGCTGACCAGGTATATGGAGACCAGGACATGCATGAGGTTGTTCGAAAGCACTGCATGGACTATCTGATGAAGAATGCTGACTACTTCTCCAACTATGTCACAGAGGACTTTACCACCTACATCAACCGGAAGCGGAAAAACAACTGCCATGGCAACCACATTGAGATGCAGGCCATGGCAGAGATGTACAACCGGCCCGTGGACGTGTACCAGTACAGCACAGAACCCATCAATACATTCCATGGGATCCATCAAAATGAGGATGAGCCCATTCGTGTCAGCTACCATAGGAATAGCCACTACAATTCAGTGGTGAATCCTAACAAGGCCACCATTGGCGTGGGGCTGGGCCTGCCATCCTTCAAACCAGGGTTTGCAGAGCAGTCCCTGATGAAGAATGCCGTAAAAACATCAGAGGAATCATGGATTGAACAGCAGATGCTGGAAGACAAGAAGCGGGCCACAGATTGGGAGGCCACAAATGAGGCCATTGAGGAGCAGGTGGCCCGGGAATCCTACTTGCAGTGGCTGCGGGATCAAGAGAAACAGGCTCGCCAAGTCCGTGGCCCCAGCCAGGTGGGTCCTGGGGTCTGTCACTAGCCTGGCGAAGAACCTGTTACTTCCCATGTTCTGTCCCCAAACAGGCAGAAACAAACTAAGCACTTCTGACATGTGGGAGAGAAGGAAGCTCCTAGACTTTTCTCTACCTCATCTTGGCCTTAGTCTTGACATTGTGCCTTAGAACTCTCAACAACTGTGCAGAACAAGCTCTTTTTTTTTTTTTTAAAGAAGTGAGAGAGGGCAGCCACTGGTGGTAAAATGCCAGATTCATGGATAGTTTCAGAGGGACAAGCTTTTGCTGAATGTTGTGTGCCAGACTCTGTACTGAGGATGTAAAATCAGGTCCTGCATGCTCCACCCTCAGTGATCCTTTCTTTTGAGGGGGAGACACATGCATCAGTGGAGCCCTTGACTCTGACTGGAAGACCAGTAGAGGTGGGGGATCTTGTCAGTCTTCATACAGAAAGGTTGAATTTTTAGGGCAGGGAGTGAGGCAGGGCAGCCAGGTATTTGAGGAGTCACAAGAAGTTTATAGAGTGATTAATCAATGTCGGCAAGAGCTGACTCATCCGTTGAACAAGTATTTATTGCAGGTTTATGCCAGGCACTGTTCTTAGTGTATAGGGGTACATTGGTGAGCTGGGCAGTCCCAGGTCTGTCTTTGTGGTGCTTCCATTTATGCACAGTGGAATGAAATAAACATGAATAAATCATTTGAGAGGTGGTATGGACGAAAGATGTAGAGCAGGGTAAAGGGGATGAGTAGGACTGAGTGGGGCTGGGAGTTCACAGTATTAATTAGCATGGTCAGAGTTGGCCTCAGACCAGGTGAGATTTGAGCAAAAGCTTTCAGAGGTGAGGGAATTACGTGCCTATACCAGGGAAGACAGAGGACCAGCTAGAGCAAAGACCCTGAGGTACGTACACACCTGGTGTGATTTGGGAGCAGCCTGGAGGCCAGTGTGGCAGAATAGAATGTAGTAGTAGATGGAGTCGGAAAGGTGGGGGTGCCATATTGGAAGGGGCTTGTGACCTTCCAATTTGGCCTGTGGTGAGGACTTTGGCTTTTCTTCTGAGTGAAGCAAAAATGATGAGAGGGTTATGAGCAGGAAAAGAGTGGGAACTTAGAATTAACAGGATCCTTCCGACTGCTGAGTGTAAAATGGAGTCGAAGGGGCAAAGGTGGAAGCAGGAGACCAGCAAGAAGATGACTATAGTAGTCCTGATGATTGATGGTAGTACTGGCAAGGGAAGCAGTCAGAAGGGGATAGATTCTGGATCTATTTTGAAGGTGGAGTAACAGGTTTCCTGTCAGACTGGCTGTAAAGGTGTGAGAGGGGCTTTAAAGTGCTTACCTTGATCCTGTGGTCCATTACGTTACCAAGAATGTTGGTGGCCTATGTAGAAGCTATTTCATAGCCAGGATTCCGGGAGGGAGTGAGCCCTTCGGGAATGGGGCAGAGGACGGTTGCAACTGCTATTGGTCTTTACCACCACCTTCCTCACCGCAGCCCCGGAAAGCCAGTGCCACATGCAGCTCTGCCACAGCAGCAGCCTCCAGTGGTCTTGAGGAGTGGACCAGCCGGTCCCCAAGGCAGCGGAGTTCAGCGTCGTCACCTGAGCACCCTGAGCTGCACGCTGAGCTGGGCATCAAGCCCCCTTCCCCAGGCACTGTCTTAGCTCTTGCCAAACCTCCTTCACCCTGTGCACCAGGTACAAGCAGCCAGTTCTCGACAGGGGCCGACCGGGCTACTTCCCCCCTGGTGTCCCTCTATCCTGCTCTGGAGTGCCGGGCCCTCATTCAGCAGATGTCCCCCTCCGCCTTTGGTCTGAATGACTGGGATGATGATGAGATCCTAGCCTCGGTGCTGGCAGTGTCCCAACAGGAATACCTAGACAGTATGAAGAAAAACAAAGTGCACAGAGACCCACCCCCAGACAAGAGTTGATGGAGACCCAGAGACTGGAGACCATTTCCCAATCCCTACCACTCCTGCCCTCCGGTGCCACCCCACCTTCTTTGGCTTTCTCCCCTCTTGCCTTCTTCCTTCTTTCCGCTTCTTTGGCTCCTCCCCACTTCCCTCTGGCTGGCCCACCCCTGTGCACCCTCTCATCGCTGCCACCACCACCATCATCTGTCCCTTCGCCAGCTGATGTGCTCTGTTTCCCCCTGCACAGCACCATCCCTGCATTCCACAGGGGACTTGGGCAAGGGTGCTGAAGGTAGGCGAGGGGCATACAGAGACAAACCAACTGGCAGCCAGGCAGCCCCTGAGGAGAGACATTCAGACAGCAAAGTCTCCCTGCCCTCTATTCCAAGATCAGAAACTTGTCACCCTACCTTCACAAATGATACCAGGGAGGTGGGAGGAAGAAGTGGGAAAAAATCCCCTTCCCAGTACCCTTAAAATGTCTGAGCCTTCAATGTTTTTTTCTTTATTAAAATATACTTTTATCTTATAAAATCAATCAGTGATGTAGACAACAGCATTGGCTCTATGAAGGTGACATCTCTCTGGTTTGGAGGCAGGTAGGCCACGGGGCACAAAGATGTGGTTGATGTACCTGGCCTCCAGCTCTGTGGAGATGGGCAGGGTCTAGAGTATGAGCCAGGGTGGGGTGGGAGGGCAGGAGGGGGCAGGTGTCAAGTGGGCTTTGGACGAGACTCTGACCTCGCTGCATTCCTTATGCTTCCACCACCACCACCAGTCTTTTTGGAATCTCAGGGTGGGGGGCACCTTTGAGGATCATGGCCGCCGCCCAGGATTTGAGTGTGGGGGGGTGGGAGCAGCCTCAGCAGATGGGGCACTCATGCCTTGCAGGTGTCAACAAGATCCACCATCTGTAATGTCCTTGGCACAATAAAACCAAATGTCAGTTTCCCCTGAGCGCCTCTGTTCTGTGTGGGGCAGGGGGTGGGTGAGCCTTTGGTCAGAGGCGGTGATGGCACAGACCTTGGCTTGACTTGTAAGGGCTATATGCTCTCCATTGGGATCTCTCTGGATGCCCAGAGTTTGTTCATACTTGATTCACTGCTTACTGAATCAGCCTTTGGACCTGTTACCACCAAGAAAGCTCTGTCTTTGCCCACTGCCCCTGCCTCAGTATTGTCACAGGATGTAGCCTGCCCACCCTATTTCCTGGGGTGTGATGGAAGCAGAGAATTGAACTTGATGGCAGGTACTGAATGTCGAACTTCTCTGCCTGCCTCTAGCCCCCATATGTTTGCTCTTTCATTGTGAGTATTTGATGAGGAAATGCTTTGGACAGGCACAACAGTCGCTTCATAGCAACCTGAGTTTAGTGGAAGTGACCAGAGGGTGGACCCCCCCACACAAGCACAATGGGTTTTAGAAATTGGGGAATAGCTAAACCTTTTTTTATTCATGTTCCCAGTTCTCTTGACACTTCTGTCCCTGACTTTTGTAGAGGTAAAGCCAAGGCAAAGAAGGATGGCTGGCCCCAGGTTTTTCAGTTCTTTTCTTCAATGCCCCTCAATAATGGGGTCCCTGTGGAAGGATGTATGTCCAGCTCTGCAGATGAGGGTGTGGCTATCTGCAGGTGTCTCTGTGGAATCCACTGGTTAAGCACTGTGTTGGAGAGTTGGTTTAAAACCGGCTTTTTCTAACTGTGGCTTTGGTCAAGTCGCAGGCTCTCTGAGTTTCAAGTGTCCCATGTATAGGACAGGAGTGATAAATATCTACTACCTCACGCTCTCTCTGTTGTGAGCATTGAGAGAGTGTATATGGTCAACATAATGTATGATGGCACAGTGCCTGGCACATTCTGAGAGCTCTAATGTTAGCAGGTATTATTTATTATCCTGAAGTTGAAGTTTCTGCACTATTTGGCCCCTGAGTACTTCATCTTGCCTCTCTGTCCATTTTTCCTTGGCCTCTGCCTGGAATTTGCCCTTCCTCTGTCCCAAGCCTCCAACTTTGTCTTTCAAGATGGGTAGAGGGTCTCCGTCTGAGAAGCCCTGTGTGACCCCATTTACATTCTCACCTTTATATACAGATATGTCTTTATTTCTTCTCCAGTAACTGTACCGTCAAATTCTTGGGCAGGGCTATGATGCCTGACTTAACCTGTGTATCTCTTAGTATCTGCACCCCCTCTAGGGCCTTGTAGGCTTACAGTAGACCCCTAATAAATGTTGGATGAATAAGGGAGAGTACCTGTGTATATTTGCTTTTTGAATGTTTGTGTGTGTGAGAGACTGGTGAGTCCAAGCCTTTGTGCATCTCAGAGTGTCTCTCTAGTTGTGTGTGAGATGAGGGCTTGTTTCCAGGTGTGTCAGATGGGGACTGCGTGTGGGACTCAATCTCTGACAGTTTGTGTCTGTTTCTGAGACAAGTGCATGTCTGCGTGGGTCTGTCTGTGACAGTGCATCTGTGGTTTCTTTCCGATAGGGTGGATGAATGTCCGTTTGTATTACTGTGACAGATTCTGGGTAGCTATTTCTGGATAATTTCAGTGACAATGCTGCATGTCTGCTCTTGTGTGTGTGTGAGAGAGAGAGCGACTGACTGGGTGGATCCATGTCTGTTTTTGTGATACTGCCTATCTGTGGCTCTATCACATAAGTATATGTATGTCTTTGGAGCAGTGCATGTGTGTCTTGAGCGTCTGTGTGTCTTCCTGTGACAGACTCTGGGTCTCATTTCTGGAATAGTACTAGTCTTTCTGTGACACTGCATGTCTGATGGTACAAGTATCTTTGTGACAAGTTTTGGTGGTGGTTCTGACGGGACATTTCTGTGTCCTTGTCACATGGCAGTGTAGGTGTATGTGAATCTGTCTGGAGTGCCTTTCTGTAACTGCATCTCTGGTGTCATCCTGGGACATAACTCTGGCAGCATGCCTCCCTGACAGTGGATTTCAGTCTGTGACAGTACATATCTCTCTGTGTTTAGGACAAGCTCATGGGAATGTGTCTGGCAATATGTTTTTGTGTATTTCTCACATGGCACTTAACTGTGTGTGTGTCTTTGGAGTGCTTGTCTGTCTTCCTGCAGCATGAGGCCTGTTATTTCCAAATTTGTGGCTAAGGGCATTTTACCACCTCTGAGCTCTCGCAGTCCTTGTGTGTGTCTCGTCCAGAAACACATCCCAAGCCACCACCACCCTGGCTTGCTCCTACCTGCAAGAACCACCCCCCCCCCTCGCTATTCCAGATTCTGTACTTGCTGACTGGGCTCGTGGCCAGGTCTAGTCTATATTAAGGGCTCCACGGCAGTGGTGGTCAGGTTAGTCCTCCCTAACGGCTGAACAGGTTCTTCAAGGATCCCTGACTTTACTTCCCGGGCAGAGGACACCTGTCGCCTAGAGGGCTCTGAACCTGGTTTGAAGAGTACCCTTCGGAGACAGGGTCATGGATAACCACAGGCTGATTCTTAGAAGCCTTAGAAGGCCTGGCGTTATCTCTGCGCTAGTCTCGAGGCAGTGGCGGCCAACCAACTTCCTAGGAAAGGGGGCGGTGTATTTTTTTAAGTTTATATCTGCACATACAGACATAAAAACAATGCCGCACAACCAAAACAAACCCGGTTGCTGCGAAAGGGATTCCTAAAACCAGTTTCTTCTCTACACGCGCCCCCCTCGTGTGCATGCAGACCCCGCCCCCGCGGAAGACACGGGCATGTATTTGCATAAAGGGGTACTTGAAACGTTGAGGGTGGTATGCAAATAAGGGCTGGCTCCGATTGGCTGGGGTACAGCAGGTGCTGCGTCCGGATTGATCAAAGCCAAGTGGGCGGGGCCGTCGCCCCGGGCGACTCTCTCGGGAGGCTCGTGCCCTGTCTCAGTAGCGTCAGGGCTGGCGCGCGCAGCGAATCTTAACGTTGCGCTCTTTGCCGGCCCTTCTGGGCCACCAGTCTCCTTACCTTCCATCCTGGCGCCCCCTAGTCCAGGTTCCCCGGACTCACTGCCCCGGGCGTCCACACCCTGTGGGCTCAGCGGGCTCAATCTGCGCAGCTCCTCCTCCATGTTGACTAAGCCTCTGCAGGGGCTCGCGGTGGCCCCCATGACTCCTACGCCGCTGCCAGGTGAGAAAGGCTCCCCCTAGTGCAACCAGGCCAGGCGGGCTGCAGTGGTTGAGGGCCGCGCGGGGTGGGGGGGGGGTGGTGAGGGGGAAAGGGTCGCGGGTCGCGGCCAGCCTTTGCACGCCGCCACCCTGACTTCCTCGCCTCCGCCTGCGTAGGAGGCAAGGATCGGGAAGCGTTCGAGGCCGAGTACCAACTCGGCCCCCTCCTCGGTAAGGGGGGCTTTGGCACCGTCTTCGCAGGACATCGCGTCACAGACCGACTCCAGGTATCCACCACGAGGGTCTTGGGAGGGCCAGGTGTGTGTGTGGCGGCGGCGGGAGCCCCGGGGCCAGGATGCTAATTGACCATGGAATGAGCCTACAGTGTGTGAGTGGTAGGGTCATGAGGGCTGGGATCCGGTTGTTGAGGGTGTCCGAGTGCGCGCGCGCGGATGCGCGCACGCATGTGTGTGTGTGTAAGTCCAGGTGGGTATATGGGGGAAGGGAGAATTTTCAGGGCAAGAATTCTGGAGGTCCAGGGGAGTGAGACTGGGGAGTGGGGGGGTCATGAGGACTCTAGACCTTGGGATCTGGGAGAGGTGTATATATGTGGGGAAGGTGAGGACCTAGAGCTGAGATTTGGGGGGATTTTGGAGTCAGGTGGCCAGGGTGGAGTCGTGAGGTCCAGGACCTCGCTACAGGGTTGTGGTATCCTGGGGCTAGATAGGAAGATCAAGGGTTTAGGGTGTTAGGAAGTTCAGAACTCAGCACCTGGCGTGAGGGATCCTGAAGCCTGAGAAGGGAGAGCCCAGGGCCAAAGATGGTGGGAGAGGTGTACTTGGTTTTGGAGACTTGGAAGGGAGAAGCTTCAGCTCATTTAGGATTGTGGTGTGTGTGGGGGGCGGGGGGGCGGGGCTGGGACCAGAAAGACTAGGGTGAGGGTCCAGACTGGGAGATGTTGGGGGGTCATCTGCTGGCCCCCTCACCTCAGCCTGCTTCTTCAGGTGGCCATCAAAGTGATCCCCCGGAATCGCGTGCTGGGCTGGTCCCCCTTGGTGAGTATCTTTGGAGTCCTTTTTGACCTGGCGACGCCATCTCTGATGGTGGATTTCACCTTGCTCTGGTTTGTATGACTCCTTGGGCCCTGTAACGGTGAGAAGAACACTCCTACCAGTCCATGTTTACTCCCCTGTGGTGACATCCACACCTCCATACAGTTCTGACTCACCCCTGTTCCCCTAGAGCCCTGGATTCTCCCCTCCCACCCTCCTTTTTCATCCTCCTCCAAACATTGCCTCGGGGGCTGCCCGCAGGGCATGCTGGTGAGAAAAGAGGGGCAGAGGTCATTGGTTGCCATGGTGATGGTGGCTGCTTCTCTTCCACAGCTAGAGCTCTAACGGACAACTGGGCGGGTCTGGGCAAGTTGTAGGGGCTGGAGTGCCCCCTGGTGGGCTGTGGGGAAACTGCGCCTGTGCAGGCTGTGGGACTCAGAGGGAGAAGGCGCGCCTGCGCAGTAGCGGAATTTTTCAGCCCCGTGAGAAAACCTGTCTGCGACTGTGCGTATCAGTAGATTGGCCGGGAGAGGGCCCCACCTCGGACAGGAAGACTGCTTCTGGCAGCCCATGTGTCCCCGCAAAGCTTCTAGCATGGGGTGAATTTTGTGGCCAGTAACATGTATGCCTTTTATTGAGCACTGACGGTATGCCTCAGATTTTGTTTCGTCATAAAAGCTTACTATGTTCCAAGCTGCACTAAGTACTTGTATTCAACACAGTTCTAGGTGCTTGGTGACAGTGACAAAATATCACATGATGACACTATTGAGTTCTTGTTTATGCCAGTTCCTTTGCAATTAATTACTTTTAGCTATTTAACAAAAGTATTTTAGCACCTAGAATGTGCCAGGCACAGTTCTAGATACTTGGCAATATATTACATTTATTGAGCATTCTTTTTGGGCTGATCCTTTTCTGCTAATTGATTTCACCTATTTAACAACTATACCAGGCACTGTTTACTGAAACAGTTTGAGCTGTGTCAGTGAACAAAGCAGACAAACCATTACACAATAATAGTATTTATTGAGTGCTGTGTCAGATCCTATGCTATAAAATGCTTTTTATCTATTTAACAAACATTTATCAAGCACCTACTGTGTGTAAGGTGCTATTCTAGTTTCTTTGGAGACGTCAGTAGACAAAACAGATAAATTACTACAAAGTAGTGTTCATCAGTTGCTTCTGCTTTTGTTAGGAATCACTTTCATTTATTCTTCAAACATTTACTGAGGAAATTCCCTGGTGGTCCAGTGATTGACAGTCAGCACTTCCACTGCTACCGCTCAGATTCAGTGCCTGGTTGGGGAACTAGAATCCCAAAAGCCATAGGGTGTGGCCAAAAGAAAGAAAAATTTACTGAGCTCCTATTACATGCCAGATGTGCATAGACTTTGGTTTTTTAAATTTTTTTGGCTTATTTTTTTTTTTAATTATTAAGTTTCTTTTTATTGTTTTTTTTATTTTTGAATCATATAAGTATGCATGTGAATCATATAAGTATGCATGTTTAAAGTTAATAGTCAATTAATTCTACAAGCTTTACTACAAAAATGTGGTAGCTTCTTCTCTCCTGCAGCCCCATTTCCCCCTTTCATGCAGTCATTACTTTCACATTTCGTTACCATCTTTCTAAAGTCCATATATATGTGTTAGTATACTGTAATGGTCTTTATCTTTCTGGCTTACTTCGCTCTGTATAATGGGCTTGGCTTATTTTTAAATGAATTTTTATTGAAGTTAGTTGATTCACAGCATGTTAGTTTCTGGTGTACAGCAAAGTGAATCAGTTATACATATATCCACTTTTTTAAGATTATTTTCCCATATAGTTCATTAAAGAGTATTGAGTAGAGTTCCCTGTGCTATACAACAGGTCCTTATTAGTTATCTACTTTATATATAGTAGTGTGTATGTGTCAATCCCAGTCTTCCAATTTGTCTCTCCCTCACCCCCCCACCATAGGCTTTGACTTGAATCAACTTCCCAATGGCTATATGAGTTTAATCCCTTAAGATGAGAGAACTGTGGGCCCAGGAAGGAAGAGGGTTGCTTAAGGCCACACAGTCAGGAGGCTGAGGACCTGTGATT